TGATATGCGAGGCAAATTGAAAAACAGTTGTCAGCTGATTAGAATCGGCAAAATACGAAAAGCATTTCGTGAGAAACATTTGTGCTCATAAAATCGAATCTAACTAGTTAAACAAAACATAATAACATTATCTTATAAAATTTAAAAATCAACATTTATTCATAATAGTGATTAAAACCATTATTCTAATCGACTAATATATTTTTTCAATTAAGATGAAAATTTAATCCTTAACAATTATAAATGTCCATGAAAACAGATTTTTATTAAAGAGTACTATAAATATCTAAACAATTCGAGAATATTTGGAATGTGAAATTTTAGAAAAGTGAAAAAGCTGCCGAAAATGTTTTGCAATTAAGGCAGCATCAGAAACAATTTGCTTAATGTTTTCTCTATGTGCCAAGTATTTGAAATCATAGTTCATTAACATCAGATGATACTACTTATATCTTAAATGAAAATACTTAAACACAATTAATCAAGATAATATTGCTACGTTAGAGGCAAATTGTAATTTTTTCTTTTCATTCAAACCATTCCTGTTTCAAAAACTGAAGACTAGTCACTGAAGCAAAAATGATTGAAATAAAAATTGTAAAGATGGCGGAAAGCTAATGATATAATTCAAAATAGTTTTCAGTTTTCAAAAAGTGAAATATGCAAAGATAAAAACAAGATAAGATATCATTTGCTTGCGTCAGAAACATTTACTAACTACTAAGTTAAAAACGACAAATGAAAACATAGTACACAATCAATACTTTTAAGGGAATATCATAATAAAGGAAGATGAGATTTCCAAAGCGTTGTAGGTTAGAAAATTCCCAAAAAAATGTAAGTTATCAACAAATTAATCATTACTGATTATTTCAGTTTTACGTTTGCTTAAACAGGCGTTATCTAACTGATTTCAGTGTACGTTGAATATGAAAATGTATCATTTACAAAAAAACAAATCAAAAATCAATCCCTTAATAAACAAGACTGCCACAGTTTGGACAGAACCAACAATGAGAATAGACAATTATGACTTAAAATTTTTCCCCAAAATGGACATTTTTTCAAAGCGTAGAATGGGAGCTTTTTCAGAAAAGTAGACAAAATAATAAGTGATCTAGCTAGTATACATGTAATGTCTGGTGAACACTGAATAATACATCTTTTTGGCCACCATACTTTGCTTATGATCCCTACCTAATGACCTAATGAAAGGTTTGAATATTTTAGAGATATTGATCGAAAGCAACTAAAAATACACTGTGTGGAAGAACAACGTACACTTATTGACGTTAGCTACCCATCATCGTAGTTCAACTGCTAATCACATCACAAAAGGTTAGCAAAATTGATTGTTATGTGGATTGTAATTACATAGTACAAGAAATCGATTTCTTTCGGTTTGTTTTACACTAATTTCACAATTTTTTCATAAATCTAAATTTTTTCTTCAAAATCATGCAATTGCTACTCTGGAAGACTGGTCAAGAAATTAAGTTGTTACGAATAATGATAAAAAAATCTGCATCTTTTTATTCATTATCGATAATAATGTATCACTTATTTTTAATAACGATTCATAACTATTATATTAAGTGTAATGCAATGGTTTTTTTAGTGAAACATAATAATCCTTGCTGAAAATTCAAAAATTTATCTGCGTTCAATGCAAGATACAAAAACATTCTATTATAAAGGTTCGAAATAATGGCAGCAAATAATTGGTGATAAATACATATCAGCAAAATCATAAGGTGCTTCTGCTTCTATCAATTTTTTTTGAAAGTACCGCTTTTTTTATAAGAAATTCCAACTTTTATAAAAAAATTTGTGATTTAAAAGTCGATATTTTCAAAGACTGTTCAAAGATAACATTTCAGACTCAAACAAAGAAAAAATTATTGATAACAAGATATAAGTGGAAAAGACTTAGTTTATTGAGAAGATATAAAGTCAAATTTATATATATATATACAAGTAGATTTACGTGTATTTAAAAATAAAGCAGTGTCAAATGCAACAGGCACATGATTTTGTCCATAATACTTGAACAAAAAGAAGCAAACAAGACATTATTCGTTAATCACATGAAGAAAAATCGATGAATTGCTTCTACGTCAGTACTAGCGCAATAATTTTGCTTTCAGTTTTCATACATTCTGTAGATAGATCAAAAACAACAAGTTACTTGCTGCTTGTGTGTTTTAGATTTTTTAAAATTATCGTTAGAATGCACTTAGAAATTTTCTTAAGACTATATGTATATATACATAATTTTTTTAAATATATATATAAACTGAAATTCTTCAAATTTCAGTTTTGAGAAAATAGAAGGAAATTATCATGAACACAAAGCAAAATGGCAAAAAGCTGCGCTTCAACTGTAAGCGATGGATTCCGCAAGAAGGTAACAATACATATGCAAATTTGGGAATTGATATGATCGAATAGTAAACTCAAAATCAAGTCGTCGTTTCATTTTAAACAACGAACGAAATGTCAAAACATATTAGAAAATGAAAAAAAAGAAAAGAAAAACAAAAGAGAACAAGCGAAAAACAGTGTCTTACTTCTATTTTCTACGAAAATTTATTTGTGATGCCTGTTACAATGCTCCGAATTTAGTTCTTCATTATCTACAGTGCCATTTAATTTAGAAGTAGAACTGAAGCCACATTGGTGTAAGTTTTTCCATTGCCATTTATGGCTTATTTCATACCTGCCAAGAATATATTCTGATTCCTTTCAATATTTTCTCCTACTAAATAAAGTAGTAAATACTGATAGCAAATCAAACTTTTTTGATTCGCAATCAAAGAAAATTCCAAATCAAATTTATTACTGTATTACAAAACAGACTACAAGAACTATTAAAGTCCAAACATGCTAACCCAACAAAAAATTTATGTGATTTATAAACTTCCAACACTAGGATGTTTAGTTCTGAACATAATCCAATTTCAAAAAATGAATTTTCTAGTTTTCATTTAGAGCTTATCTCTGCATAAAATGTCAAGCAAGATTTTTGGCGAGATTTTGAAAATAAAATCCTAAGTTCTTACCTTTTCCTGAAGTAAAACTTTTTCTTATGTGCAAGACAGTTTAAAATTTATACTACAAGCATCCTGCACAAATGTCCTAATGTTAATATGTAGAGTGCAAATTGGCATTAATAAATATGGAAATGTGAATTAAATGATAGAAGTCATAAAGAATATCAGAAAGACAAAAAGTGCTCGGTAATACATGGAAAAAATCATGAAATGCATTTTCATCAGGAATCTTCAGATTAGTCTCCAGACAAAAATGAATTTTCGTATCAGCACTTGCAGTCAACGAGTCTCCAAGATGCCGTTTGTGAAAACTGATTAAAGCATAAAATAAAATACTGGACCTCTTTTCATTTTCAATTTTTAAAAGCATTTGATTATCCCTTCTGATACATTGTGATAATTATAATTAGGTCACAATTAAGTAATTTCAGGAGTTGAGAAACATACTGTTTTAAATTCTATTTTTCAAATCATCTTTAAAGTAAAATACCCTGGAAAAAGTAATAAAAAAATTGAAGTACAATCGATTAAATTGAGGAATGTTTTATTCGGTTGATTATTCAAGCAAATCCGTAATTTTTTCGATTCTGTGTCTGCCTGCAGCTAATGCAAGACCAGGCTAGATTCTAGATTCAATTTCAGTCTGAATAGACCGAGTAGGAAAATATTTATTTGAAGCTTTATGTTCAATATGATTTTTTTCCTAATTTTCTTAAATGAAAGCAGTATTTGATATGTTTCATAAATAATTTTACAGAAATCAAAATTACTTGAATGACTGCAATACATTTATATAAAACAGAGTTAACAATCTGAATTTTTTTTGTTCGATCAAAGCATTTATTTGCTGCTTTAGTATGAATGAAAATTTAGAAACCTTGATCATTTTTGACTGTTGTGAGACTGATAATTCGTGTAGGTGATTCACGAATTTTGTTGTCTCGACTGTTGAAATTGAAAAAAATTTAAGAGAAGCTGTAAGCGATTGCATTTATTCAAAGAAGAAACAGAAACCATTTGTGAGTTGAATTCTTTTGAATAAGATGCTTTTTCAGTATTTATTTCAGTTATGTCGTAATGAGGGATATGCTTTGAAGGGAAAAATATCTCTCATTGACATAATGGGATTAATTAGACTGTCATTTTCAGCTTTCTTAAACAAAACCGAGCTGCAATTAAGAAGTAAAGCTTTTGTATGTTATATGAGCAAAATTAGATTCATTTTGGTGCGTTCTAAATTACAATCAATGTAGGGATTTCATCAAACATAGAGTAAAAATGTATAAAGTCTAAAAGTGTGTTTGAAACATGACTTTTTTGTATTAATTGTGATAAAACTGATCAATTCAAGATTCGTTTACAGACTATCCCAGAATGCTTTTTCATATTTGTTACATCATTCATTCTGTTTTAAACTTGAAGAATTCATTCTACAAAAACTAAAATATCTTTGGTAAATTATAAGCCAAAATAAAATCGCTTTGTCTTTGCATTTCACTGACAAACTAATTTTGCTGAATTGTTTTCGCTTTCATTTCTAAAATTTTAGTCACTGTTATTCTAAACACTGTTCGTTTGACTAATATTGTTTGTCAGGGTCTAAATTGCAGGTGTGAATTCTCGGTAGGGCTTTAATACTGATAATAATATCTGAGAAACTGAAATATTTCAAAGCATCTTTCCTTAAATATCTACTTCTCTTATTTTGCCTTCAAAAAAAATTTTCAAATTATTGTCCCATATTTCAATAAAATGTGAGAAAAATGGTATGATTACTTTGGAAGTGTTAGTGCTTATAATTAACCGATTATATTTTATCAACCTGAAGTTCGAAAAGTTTTTATAATATCATAATTTTACTTTTATCATAATTTCAGAATTTCTAGCTAGAGTTTTCTTGAATTTATTATACAGGTTAGCGGTGTCATAAATATTTTCAGATTTAAAGCGATCTATAAGCGCTTTACCACCAAAAATTTGTAATAATCTTAGAGGAGTATCAAGTTTCTAAAAAACGCATTGCACAAGGTATTTCAACTTTTATGGCAATTACCAGGTAATGCATATGACGGAATTTATGAGAAGATGCTGCATCATTCTCTCTTAAAAAGGCTTCACCGACAAAAGAAAGATATTTTTTATTACAAGTTTTTACAATACATGAATGACAAAATATGACGATGGGAAGCGGAGGATTGCCAGGACAAATACATTAATCATTGAAGGATAAAATGCACATAGATTTAGGTATAAGTTAAAATAAGCTTTAGCAAATCATGCTGTTACTAATAGGATCTATGAAATTGAAGGACATTAATCATTAACAATTAGCAAACATTGTATTCAATTTTCGTCGAAATTACTTTAATCATCTGCAACCAGTTTGACAGAAAAGACCAAAAAACTTATATTTAAAAACAATATTGTTAACTGCAGTAGAATAAATTAGAAAATTTTTGCAAATTTCCATCATCCAAATATTTTCTTATTAACAACTTTTTGGTTTGGGAGAAATATTTCACGATACTTGGTTGTATAGAAAAAAATATTCATAGCCTCACTACAGAGTAGAAATATTTTTGGCAAAGCAAAGTAAGAAACAGAAAACTTCCTTAGAAATTTTTCTGTCACATATTTTCCATCTTAATTATGCATACGTCTCAACAAATGAGCGTATATAATTCGATCCTAAATAAAAATTTCAAAATTTCGACAAAAAACAAGTGAGAATGTTTTTTTACCTTTGTTACATGATTTAATAAATAACTTCTTTAAAGCATTCGACCCTTCATTTTTTTAAGGAGATCTATGGAATCGTTTGAAAAAGGCTGTTCATAAGTTTTGAAAAATTAAGAAGAAAAATATAAAAGTCATAGGTTTGTAATCCAATTTTACAAAGCAGAAATGCTCCAACTTGTATAACTGATTAGTCCTTCATAACCGACCTTGTAATCAGCTTATTTCTATATTCCAGGTATTCATGTTTCAATTACAGTCCGAAAAAATAAATAAAAGTTTGAAAAAAGCAGCTCTTAAGTCAAAAAAATTACGAAGAAAAATATAAAAGACCACTTTTTCATCAATAACAGTTAAATATGAAATCAGTTATTCGAAATAATGATTTTTTCACTCACGTAAAATACTACAGCTGCAATAAAAAATTTTATTGGCGAATGCAGCTTTTGAGTAATGAAAATTGTAATTATCTTGTCTTCATTTACTATCTTATACTATAACATTCACGAATTGGTAATATTAGTTATGAAGTAATATTAGTCCTTAGCTCCAACGTACTAAATATAATGGTACGTTCCTTTAAAAGTTTTTCGCTGCGGATTTTTGTAGTTAAAAAATAATCAAACTCATTAATTTGACCATTTAAAAAAATATTATTCAACCTAAAAAATATACGGAGTAATTTTTTATAAAAAAAAATAATTATATTTTATAATAAGCAGTAAGAGAATCCCCATTTCGGATTAAAAAATTCGTGTTTTAACAAAATTTATTGCTAAAAATAGATCGTACAGTAGGATTGGAGAGGAACTGAATGCCAAAAATAAGTAACACTTTTCAATTCGAAGAACCTGTAATAAATTATATCTGGTTGAGCTCATGAAAATCTAGTTTAAGGAGAATCTATTCCTTCTACTGGCTAGATAATCAATGCAGAAATCAAGTTATTTGGAAGAAAAACAATATATATGCACATCAATGAACATATTCACATTTGAGTAGGAAAATTGGAAGAAAATTCTTCACACTGATAATACTACAAACCAGTTGTGAAAAAATTGCTGAATATTCCATCTTATTCACCACATCTCGTGTCACTTAAGTTTTCTATCAAGCAAAACTTCTTATCAACGTTGGTATTTTATTCAAAATTTCGTCTCCAAATATCAGGATAAAAAATTTTTGATCTCATTTTTACCAGGTCATTTTTTACTGAGCTTCTAATCACTAACATCTCCAAAATACACGCATCTGATTATCTTAATTGCTTACTTCAGAAAATATTTCTTAGAAAAGAGTAGTTTTGTTTTTTACGAAGTATGAAAACATTAATTATGAATTTCATAATGTTAACAAATTTCAGTAACTGGGGCAATTAATACAGTAAAAGAAATCGTTCTTACCTTTTACAATCAGAAATTAACAAAGTTATTGCTGAATCTTCTAATAATGTTAGAAGGGATTTCTCAGTAGAAAGATTTCGAAATATGACCAATTAAGTGTATAAAAGCCGAAGTAAATGCTTTCTCGTTATTCCTTTTACGCAAAGGAAAAAAAAACCACTGTAATTGAAGATTTTGATTAATGTAATTCAAAATTTTCATTTTAAATTCTGTTGTTCATTGAAAAATATGAATGTTCGTTGTTCCAAATAAATTGTATGTTGGAAAACATTCCTTGTTTTATTTCTTCAAGCTTAACTTTTTACTATATAATTACATCATTAAACAACCATTAGTTTCATGAAATCTATGAAAGTCAAAATAAAAAGCAGTTTTTTGTCGACAAGACTAAAACCATCATTTTTTAATGGGAGAATACATCAGTTGCACTAAAGTAAAATTGAAATATTATAAACTAATGAAAGCCAATGTCACTTGCACGATAAAAAAGTATTTCTTCGTACTTGTTTATTCAGGTTTAATTTTACTGAATAAATGTTTTTTCATATTTCCATTATTATGTTGTTTTCCATTTCCTATCAATGTGACGACTGTTGATTGAAATTCTTGGTTTGTTGATCACTAAGGTAATAACTAATTGACCCAATGAATTACTTTTTCAACACCATCATATTTACCTCAAATTGCTTCAAAGTGATGAAAAGCAGTTTCAGTAAATGAAACTGAAGAAACTTTACTACTACTTATTGGTCAGTTATGAATTGTATAATATGGCTACATGTTTTTTCGTACTACCGGGAGAAGATGAAACACGTTTTCGTCGAAGGTTAGAGTAAATTTGTTGATGATAACCGATTTATTTTATCTATAATAACACAGTTTAAGTTAAAAAAACTTATCTGTTTTCATGAAAATCTGTTTAGTAAGTTCCTCAGTATTTTTTTGATAAGAGTAGAATAATCTCACGGACACAAAAACTAAAAAAAAGGAATTCACTGAATTATTTACAGTGTTTTTGAAGTATTTATTACCTTCATTAAAAAGTGAATTAGATTTCTGATAAAAATCAATTATTTGTAGGCATTTAAGAAAGCGTTGGAACCAAGATGATCTCGAGAATTCAAAAGAATTATTACATCGATTTTTTCATCTCTCTGCTGATGCATCCTTGACACCAAAACGTTATTCTAATTCTACTTCTGTACGTAAATGGAAAAGTTGCACGTAAAATAAAATGCATCATGAAGATTCTTGTGAAGAAAAACTCCAGAATATGAGATAAAGGAGATAAAGGAAATTCTTATCCATTTTTAAATTGATATGTGATTCTTTTCAACTAAAATTCCCCATCGATTTAAAAAAAAAATGCTTTTCCTTTTGTTTCACAAGAGGAGGATTCATTCCTTCTTCAAACTTCATTTTTTCTCTTTTATTTTTTACTTTATTTTAGTTTTTTTTCGTAATCGGTGTAAAATGTTCGATAAATAAAGCTGAGACTAGACCAACGTTTACAGTTGTTCTAATTAAAATAAGGTTTTCTAGAAGCCTATAAATTATAAAATAGTTGATCGGACAGAATATGCTGCGAACAAACGGATTCTGAACGATGTTTTTGAAACGGACCTTGTACTCACAACACCTCAAATGCAACGTATCATCCATGATTTTCGAAAAAGTTGCTGTTTTTTCACTTTCGCACTTTATTTTCTGTACCTTTTCCTTAATGGTAAGGAAATGAACTTGATATAATAGAACAACAAAGAGCAATAATGAAGTATTTTCATCCTGATAGTAGCTAAGGTTGAAGCTAAAAACAAAATTCTCATAAAATTTTTATCTTAGAGCGATTGAGAAAATTGCTGAAAAACAAGCGTAAGGCGATTATTGGCGGCACATTTCGTTGGCCACGACAGATTGTCCCATACGTCTTTAAAGATACTGATCGTAACTTTTCAAAATGCTTTAAAAAATTCTTCACGATAATAAATAAACAAAAAACCTTGCAAAGGTTCTGGCTTATTAACTATAGTAGATTTTGACGTTTCTGCTCAAGCTTTATCAGCCTGTAGAATATTTTGAGGCATTTGTTCTCTTACATGATCTTATCAATCGACTTTGTTATTAGCAAACTTTAAAGTTGAAAAACATAGGTGAGTGGCGACAAACAATTCTTAAAGGGATGAGTAAATGGGAAAGAGAAACATGCATAAGTTTTAAGGAGCGTACTGATGAAAAGGACTTCGTGTACATATTTCGAGGAGCAGGGTATTTGATTCATCAGATTCTATTCGTTATTCAGTATATTTTCTAAAAAAAAAAGCTTTAAAATTAACAGTTACAGTCTTGTGCATTTGTGCATTAAGTGCTTACTGCAATTTTTTTAAAAAAACTAGCCTTCAAATATTCAGTAAAATTGGATCTTTGTACAGGTGTTATTCAAGCGTTGGAAGAATAGGTGGCAAACAGTTTACTTCTATTGGTTATGGATGCGAAAGTGTAAGTTTAATTTTGCATTTTATCAATCGTAAGTATGCAAATTAAAAGAAGTTATTCGAAGAATTTTTGCTTTATAGGGTGGCATTGTTGCTCATGAGCTGGGGCACACACTTGGGTTCTGGCATGAACAAAGTCGACCAGATCGTGATAAGTATTTATCCTCTGGAAATTTCTATAATAATTAATTATAAAGAGATGGTCAAATTATTTACTGACATCGCATTTAGGTTCATAAACATCAATGAAGATCATATATTTCCTGGTACCAAAGGAAATTTCGAAATACGGGATGATGCTGCCACCACTGATGTACCTTATGACTTTGGTTCAGTAATGCATTACGGTCCACAGGTTGACTTTAATGCTTCATAACATTTATGCAATTTCTGTTGTTATCGGTTTCTACAAATATAGCAAATGTACTATTTTCCAGGCTTTTACTAATGATTATCACTATGTGACCATCGAAACAAAAGACTATCGGTTTCAGCATACAATTGGTCAAAGGCATGACCTCTCTTTTATTGATATTAAAGAAGCAAATAAAATGTACTGCGCTGGTGAGTTCCACGAAAAATGCATTAAACATAATCAACGTATTCATAATGGCTTGATCTGATGATTACTAATCGACCAATTTTCTGGTTGAGAAGAAGTTGTCAATTATCATATTCTGTAGGCACATTTATTCAAATGATTTATTGAAAAATATTAAATTGTTACTTACTGGAGATAACAGCAATTTTCAAGTTTAATTCAAAAATAGTACCAAACTAATCATCAACACGAGTGAACCAATTTTCAAGATAGATGTAAAGTGAAACTCAACTGCTTGAATGGTGGATACGAAGACCCGAAAAACTGTACTGTTTGCAAGTGTCCTTCAGGAATTGGTGGGATACGTTGTGAAAGCATTCCATTATCTAGTGGTAAATTTGACATTTTGAAAAATTTTTTAGTCCGTATAATCACAAACAATACTCAACTATAAATAACTGTTCCATCATCGAAAGCAGAAAAAAACGTTGCAAGGTATTATTGCTTAAATTTATGAAACTTTTTGAGGCATTACTGCATAAATTTATAATGTTTGCGTAACACAAGTCTTCTGATAAAAGCCGCACCAATATTTTTAAATTATGCTGCATGAAGGATTCAGAAGTCTTCTCATACATAATCCATAAACGATTTTAAGTTCCATAACTGATATTGAATTATTCGAAAAAACTTCACCAGTCGTATCAGTTATGTATGTTGTATTAATTATATATATAAGTGCAGGGAATTGCGGAGGAGAACTGATTGCTGCTGATCACTGGTTGACTCTGAAAAGTAGTACTATTGGAAATTGTTTTTGGCGAATCACTGTACGTTTCACAAAAGTATATATTTTGATTCAAGGGACCATCTCGACAAATAATATTTTAGAGCAAAAATAAACCCACTTGATTTACTAGGCAACTCATGGAAAAGTTCATCTGGAAGTATTAAATGCGACATACGTATGTGATTCGTCATGTGCTGATAACTACTTAGAAATTAAGCATGGAACAAAACTAGAACAGACTGGATTTAGGTTATTTTCCGAGCAAATTTCTTCAAGTGGTGCTTTTTATATTAATGAAAAAGACAAGGTAGTAGAAGACATCTAAGACTTTTATTTCAGACAGTGCTGTAACGCTGCGGCTGGTGATATCATTTCAGCAACGAATCAAATTTACGTAATTTCAGTTGCCTTGAAAGGCCCAGCTTCTTTCACACTTCGTTACATTCAAGGTGAATCAATTAAATAATATCTCTAAAGACAATGGTATATTACACAAAATCAATCATTCAATATTGAAGATTCTGCATCAAATGCGTTACCAAAGGCACCTCCAGCACGATGGAATGGTAATGGCGGATTAACTGCACTAATTGGAGCCGAAAATGGTATTGACAATACTTGGGAACAGATTATGCTAAAGCAACTACCGAAGGTTTTCCAAAATTTCGGCCGGCCTTCCACGAATCCGTTGATTGATATTTCGCGTATTGTACAATTACTTTTCAGACCATGATAAATTATTCCATTTTCTGTTTCAACGCAGTTTACGAAACAAAAAGTCAAATACTAGATACCTGTCAGTCTCAACTTTATGGAAATGCACATGTAGTCTTATAAGACAAAACCTGATACATTATATAATTGAAGTATAAATAAAATGTAATTCAAACACGTCATAACGGTGAAAATGGTAATAATATGTCGGAACATCTAAGCAATCAATCAGATCAAATATCCAGTAGCTGAGAATGTGTTTCTGAAGAACCTGCAACTTCATAGGCGACTTCTGAGAAGCGAGAAGTAATGGACCATAACGATAATGCTCATTTAACACATTGTTGCAGTACTTCTAGAGGAACGCAATCGAAACAAGGGAAGAAGGTTAAAGAGAAAGATAAGCATGGAATGAATAGAGAAAAAAAATCAGCTGCAAAAAGAGTTTTTAACCTAAAAGAAGAATGCTCTGTCGTTTTGCAGTAAGGATATCAGAAGTTGAGAAGAAAATGGAGCATGGACGAGAAAACCCCTATCTGGAATCATAGTAGAAAACAATGGGGAAGCAGATGAGGTTGTGAAAAGCGCAGTCAAAAATGTAGAAGAGCACTCTGCAGGAACCAGGAACCAGTAGGTTGACTAAGCTTGATGTCATCATTCGAGAAATCGAGGTTCCACCGAGCAGCTGGGGCCAAAGGAATTGGTGAAGACGGTTCTTGACCGATTGAGATAAATGCCGAGAGAGTATGGTCCTTGTGTTGTTCTCTGTATTGCGATATGTTCGTTTGTGCAGTTAGCCTCCAGGAACTGAAGAACCAAGTGAATTCTGCGACCATCAGCATTGCAGGTTACTTTTTAAAAGAGACAATGAGGGGTGCCGAGGTATCCGACTTTTTACTTCGAGTAAAATATGTTACATGAGTCTTTAGCTTATCTAGATGTAATGAAGAAATACTGGTGCACAAGGCCCAAGAACGTGAGATAGAGATAGAAATAAAGTAGACGCGGAAACGTTGACCTGCTTATATTTGAAGCGGTAGGTGAATATGCCACAAAGAAACAATGACTGATCTCGCAAGGCAGCTCCAAAGGACACAAAAATGCATGAAGATTTGATAAGGCGGGAGTAGAAGTCATAGAGGTGCAACGTAAGCAAAGAAAAGAAAATAAGTGAAAATAACTTCCACAAAACATTCATAGAGCGATATTTGGCCGGTGAACTACTTGAATGTAACTACCTAAAGGAGGCCGAAAAGTGTATGAAAAGCATCACCTCCAGCTGGTCGATTACAATGAAAAACAATGGAGAAGCCATAATGGAGAGAAAAATACAGCGGGAATCCTTCAAGGTGACAGCCTTTCTCCGCTGCTCATTTTATGCATGGTCCAGTTGAGCCGTCGGCTTAATATAAGATACCCAAAGGTGGAGGACGTTCCCACCGATCAAGGAATGCATGTAACCAACCATTTACTATCTATGGATGATCTTAAGCTTCTTGCTGCCGATGAGGATATCATGCAAACTGTGGCCCAAGAAGTCTAGAAGTACTCTGAAATTGTGGAGTTAGAGGTGAATTTAGCAAAGTCAGCCACTATTTAGTGGAGTATGCGCTTATAAGGCGGTATTCTTGGAAGGAGCTCAAGGGTATAAATACATTAGAATAACGGAAAGCAGAACTAGTGCTCCAGACCCCCAGAAAATCACAATAAAATGCGAGCAGAGATTTTTGCGAGAATTGAACGAATAGCCAAAACTGCACTAAACAGCAAAAACTTTATCAAAGCAGTAAATGAGTAAGCCATAGTATTAATAAATTATTATATTGGAGTCCTCAAACTGGAACCAGAGGACTTCCAAGCAATTGACTATGATATCAGTTACTAATTAAGTACGGAATTCACATGCAACCTGCATGCTTGGGGAGACTGTATCTGCCAAGAGACGAGCTAGGACGTGGGCTTCATTGCGTTGAATAATAAAGTGAGCTTATGCTTCTGGAACTTCATGATGTACTTGTAGAAAATGCGCCCACATCTATCAGGAAGGCGGAAATTTTGAAGTAGGAAAAGACTCACAACACATACTTAGCAGTTATTGTGCCCTATCTTCAAACTAAATAAAATCCAATCGTCGAAAACGTATCAGCAGCTCAGAAAGCACTCCTGTATAGCGAAATAGAAAAGAAAACTTGATGTCCAGAGCTATACAAAGTAAATGAGCTAGTCTCTATATCAAACTCATCAATGAAATGAGCTAGTCTCTATATAATGAAATGAGCTAGTCTCTATCAGAAATGAGCTAGTCTCTATATCAAACTCATCAATGAGGCTACGATTTGGAAATACCACCCTAAAA